TTTTCATTTCCCTGATAATTAGCTATGTGGAGGATCTTTTCATGTGCCTGTTGGCCATCTGAATTTCTTCTTTGGAAAAATGTCTGTTCATATCCTCTGCCCATTTTTTAGTAGGGTTATTTGCTTTTTGGGTGTTGAGGTGTGTGAGTTCTTTATACATTTTGGATATTAACCCTTTGTTGGATACGTCATTTACAAATATATTCTCCAATATATATTTGGAGAATATTGTAGGATGCCTTTTTATTCTACTGCTGGTGTCCTTTGCTGTACAGAAACTTTTTTAGCATGATATAGTCACACTTATTCATTTTTGATTTTTTTCATTGCCTGAGGAGATGTATTCAGGAAAAAGTTGTTTATGTTTATATTAAAGAGATTTTTGCCTATATTTTCTTCTAAAAGTTTTATGGTTTCATAACTTACATTCAGGTCTTTGATTCATTTTAAGTTTACTTTTGTGTATGGGGTTAGACAATAATCCAGTTTCATTCTCTTGCATGTAGCTGTCCAGTTTTGCCAACACCAGTTGTTAGAGATGCTATCATTCCCCCATTGTATGTCCATGGCTCCTTTACCATATATTAGTTCACCACATATGCTTCGGTTTATATCTGAGCTGTCTAATTTGTTCCATTGGTCTATGAGTCTGTTCTTGTGCCAGTACCCAATCGTCTTGATTACTGTGGCTTTGTAGTAGAGCTTGAAGTTGGGGAGCATAATCCCCCCAGCTATATTCTTCCTTTTCAGGATTGCTTTGGTTATTTGGGGCATTTTGTGGTTCCATATGAATTTTAGAATGACTTTCTCTAGTTTGTTGAATACTGCTGTTGGTATTTTGATAGGGATTGCACTGAATCTGTAAATGGCTTTAGGCAGGATGGCCATTTTGACAATATTAATTCTTCCTATCCATGAGCACGGGATGTGTTTCCATTTATTGGTATTGAATTTCTCTCATGAGTGTCTTGTAGTTTTCAGAGTATAGGTCTTTCACTTCCTTGGTTAGGTTTATTCCTAGGTTTTTTATTCTTTCTAATGCAATTGTGAATGGAATTGTTTTCCTCATTTCTCTTTCTGCTAGTTCATCACCAATGTACAGGAATGCAACAGATTTCTGTGTAATAATTTTGTATTAATGCAACTTTGCTGAATTCAGATATTAGATCTAGTAGTTTTGGAGTGGATTCTTTAGGGTTTTTTTTATGTACAATATCATATCATCTGCAAATTGGCAGTTTAACTTCTTCCTTGCCAATCTGGATGCCATTTATTTCTTTGTGCTGTCTGATTGCTGTGGTAGGATTTCAAGAACAATGTTGAATAAAAATGGGGAGAGTGGGCATCCTTGTCTTGTTCCTGATCTTAAAGGAAAAGTTTTCAGCTTCTCGCTGTGAAGTATGATGTTGGCTATGGGTTTGTCATATAAGGCCTTTATTATGTTGAGGTACTTGCCCTCAATACCCATTTTGTTGAGAGTGGATGTTGAATTTTGTCAAATGCTTTTCAGCATTTACGGAGATGATCATGTGGTTTTTGTCCTTCTTTTTGTTGATGTGGTAGATGATGTTGATGGATTTTCGAATGTTGTACTATCTTGCATACCTGGAGTAAATCCTACATGATCATTATGGATGATCTTTTTGATTTATTTTTGAATTCGGTTTGCTAATATTTTGTTGAGGATTTTTGCATCTATGTTCATCACGGATATTGATCTGTAGTTTTCTTTTTTGGTGTTGTGTTTACCTGGTTTTGGTATTAGAGTGATGCTGGCCTCGTAGAATGAGTTTAGGAGTACTCCCTCCTCTTCTACTTTTTGGAAAACTTTAAGGAGGATGGGTACTAGGTCTTCACTGAATGTTTGATATAATTTTGCGGTGAAGTCATCTGGTCTGGGGGTTTTGTTCTTAGGTAGTTTTTAAATTATCAGTTCAATTTCATTGCTGGTAATTGGTCTGTTCTTACTTTCTGTTTCTTTCTGGTTCAGCCTTGTAAGGTTGTAATTTTCTAGAAAGTTGTCCATTTCTTCTAGGTTATCCAGTTTGTTACCATATAATTTTTCACTGTACTTTCTAATAATTTTTTGTATTTCTGTGGTATCTGTAGTAATTTTTCCTTTCTCATTTCTGCTTCTGTTTATTTGTGTAGACTCTCTTTTTATCTTGATAAGTCTGGCTATGGGTTTATATATTTTGTTTATTTTCTCAAATAACTGGCTCCTGCTTTCATTGACTCTTTCTTTTGTTTCATTCTTCTAGATTTTATTTATTTCTGCACTGATCTTTAATATGTCCCTCTTTTTATTGACTTAGGGCCTCACTTGTTTTTCTTTTTCTAATTTTGTTAATTGTGAGTTTAGACTCTTCATATGGGATTGTCCTTTCCTGAGGTAGGCCTGTATTGCAATATACTTTCCTCTTCACATGGCCTTGGCTGAGTCCCACAGATTTTGCGGTGTTGAATTAGCGTTGTCATTTGTCTCCATATAATGCTTGATCTCTGTTTTTATTTGGTCATCATTGATTGATTGATTATTTAGGAGTATGTTATTAAGCCTCCATGTACTTGTAGGCTTTTACATTTTCTTTGTGTAATTTATTTCCTGTTTCATATCTTTGTGGTCTAAGAAGTTGATTGGTACAATTTGACTCTTTTTGAATTTACAAAGGCTCTTTTTGTGGCCTAGTATATGATCTTTTCTTGAAAATGTTCCATGTGCAACTTGAGAAGAATGTGTATCCTGTTGCTTTTGGATGGAATGTTCTGTAGATGTCTGTTAGGCCCATCTCTTCTAATGTGTTGTTCAATGCCTCTGTCTCCTTACTTATTTTCTGTCTGGTTGATTTGTCCTTTGGAGTGAGTGGTCTGTTGAAGTCTCCTAAAAATGAATACATTGCATTCTATTTTACCCTATAATTTTCTTAGTGTTTATTTCACATATGTAGGTGATCCTGTGTTGGCTGCATAGATATTTATAATAGTTATATCCTCTTGTTCGACTGATCCCTTCATCATTACGTAATGTCCCTCTTCATCTCTTGTGACTTTCTTTTGAAGTCTATTTTGTCTGATACAAGTACTGCAACTCCTGCTTTTTTCTCCCTATTAGTTGCATGAAATATCTTTTTCCATCCCTTTACTTACAGTCTGTGTATGTCTTTGGGTTTGAACTGAGTCTCTTGTAGGCAGCATATAGATGGGTCTTATTTTTTTATTCACTTGGTAACTCTATGTATTTTGATTGGTGCATTCAGATAATTTACATTTAGGCTGATTATTGGTTGGTATGTACTTACTGCCATTGCAGGCTTTAGATTTGTGGTTACCAAAGGTTCAAGGGTATTTCTCTTACTATCTAACAGTCTAATTTAACTCACTTAGTATGCTATTACAAACACAACCTAAAGGTTCTTTTTTTATCCTCCCTTTTCTTCCTCCTCCATTCTTTATGTATTAGGTATCGTATTTTGTATTCTTTGTCTATCCCTTGATTGACTTTGCTGGTAGTTGATTTGCTTTTGCATCCGCTTAGTAATTATGTGTTCTACTTTCTTTACTGTGGTTTTATTTCCCCTGGTGACAGCTATTTAGCCTTAGGAACACTTCCATCTATAGCAGTCCCTCCAAAATATACTGTAGAGACAGTTGTGGGAGTTAAATTCTCTCAGCTGCTGCTTATCTGAAAATTGTTTAATCCCTTCTTTAAATTTAAATAAAAATCTTGCTGGGTAGAGTATTCTTGGTTCGAGGCCCTTCTGTTTCATTGCATTAAATACATCATGCCACTCCCTTCTGACCTGTAAGGTTTCTGTTGCTATGTCTGATAAAAGCCTGATGGGTTTTCCTTTATATGTGATCTTTTTTCTCTCTCTAACTGCTTTTAAAAGTCTTTCCTTATCGTTCGTCTTTGCCATTTTAATTATTATATGTCTTGGTGTTGTCTTCTTTGGGTCCCTTGTTTTGGGAGATCTGTGTATCTCCATCGCTTGAGAGACTATCTCCTTCCCCAGACTGGGGAAGTTTTCAGCAATTACCTCCTCTATGACACTTTCTATCCCTTTTTCTCTCTCTTCTTCTTCTTCCAGAGCAGATCCCCAAGGCTGGGTGTTCAGCAGGCTTAGGCTTCCACCCTCTCCCCACTCTGTTTCTCTTCCTCCTACTGGTAAACTGGGTTGGGGGAAGGGATTGGCTCCTGCCGGATCAAGGCTTTGGTACATTACCCATTTCTTGAAGTCTGCTCTGTTCTCCAGGCATATGCAGTCTGGTGTAGCCTTCTTTCCTGTTGCTCTTTTAGGATTAGTTGTATTAACTATATTTTCGTACTATATGTGGTTTTGCGAGGAGTTTTGTTTCACCTCTCCTGCTGCCATCTTTAATTCCTCTGACTTTTTAATTTACAACAAAAATTTTTGCTCTGCCTTTAAATTGTCTTGCTACTATTAAAACTAACCTTCATAATACCTTTCTGAAAAGAAGCACTAAGGGCCTAAAGAAATATGTTTTTTTCCATAAATAGCAATAGCGCTAATAACAGGACCATTTTGGATATTTGATGGGCCTTAAGTATATTTGTATTTGATAATTTTCTCTACTATTACATATAATAAAACATATACACATGCCACATTCAATGTAACTCAATGCACGCACTGTATCTCAAGAAATATCGAGAAGCAGTAGACTAACTGACATCATGTTTTGTTTTGGAGACATATGATTGACTACTATAATTTCAATTTTGTAATTTATGGCCAATAATTTTTTAAGGGAAGGGAAAATGGGTCTCAACATTTTCAGAGAGTCCCGAAAGCTACTATGTCCTATATCCATGCACATAAAATATAATGAATAAAAGAGTTCTGACTCATTTTAACATGGTTAAACAGCATAATTCACTTCAAGAATGTGGAACAAGATGGTATGATAAAGGAATTAGTACTAATTGCTTTCCCTAAGCTACAATGTTGATCTTTTAAGATACAGTAGCACAAACTAACCGAAGCATGTGGGCAGCATTGAAGACCACATCAAACTCCGTGGGGTCCAGTTCAGCTGCTTTTCTGGCCATTTCAGCTGCTTCTGTGAGGCGAGCTTCTTCCAGAAGAAACTGACCTGTAAAGTATGAAAGCAAGTGAGCATCAATGAGGAAAAGAATGCTGTGAAACAATTAAGCTGCTATAGAGAAAAAGTATCCAATCAGTAGTAAAAGTGGTTTGAAGCTGAGATTCATGTTTGTTTTGCATCTACATTCTCATTATTGAATCATATTTTATATTCCTTACCCTTAATTTCAGGATATTGCAATATATCTAATCTGGTACATTAACAAAATATTTGTTCTTAAAAAAAATTCTCTATGGACCATTGAAACAAGAAATAAAATGGATAAATTAAAAATTATATCACAAATACGAGTTGAATTGGTTTTAATTATTGGTCTTCTTATCTCTTATGCATATGTACAAACAGGGATATATTTGTCTATACTGAGATATTTTTATTTTTTATATACATATAATTATATACATAAAAATATACATTTATTTCTTATATTTAAATAAGACTAAAATTACTGAAAGAACATTGAAAAGTTGGTTGAGCTCACCTTGTTCTTAACTAGAATGACTAATAAATGTGGAATAAATATGAACAAGTGCAGATTTTGAGATTACTTTCAGCTTTGTAAGTAAGAATTAATGCAGATAGAGCTGCACAACTCTTTGAAACCGTACCTCAAGAACTGTTATATAATGCTTTCCCAGAAAAATATTGTAAAAAATAAAACAACCACATAAATGCTGGGCCTAATTTTAAGGCTGTAAATATGCAAACAGAGAGAATAGGCATTTTTTTTCTTAAGTCATGGATTTAGTAACAGCAAAGGCAAATGATGCTAAATCTTATCTGATGTGGATTTTTCAAATGAAAAATGAATCAATGCATGATGGAGATATGCTAAAACCACCCATGCAAATTGCTCAGCTTGCAGAGTTGTGATCTAATAATTATTTCTTTTTGCTTTGGGTTTTCTGTTTGTGTAAAGTTCAAGGTTTTAGCAATCTGAAAAACAGGTATAAAAATGACTTACAAGTCCTGAGCTGCACAGGGTAACAGAAACTTTAAAAATAGTAAATCCTCCATGGTGGTTGCTAGAAGATCATATTATTTACTGCTTATCTAATATTTATTACAAATTTCCTTAAAGCCCAAAAGGACCAGTTCTTAAAATACAAGGGAACTTCTCTGTGTTAAATATTTACAATAAACCACAGCCCTGTTTGTATTTAAGCATTTCTAAACTTCAGTTGGTAAAGAATGGTGAGTTAACACAGGCCTAGGATTTCAAGCCTACTTTTTTCAAAGAAGTGACAAAGTTTAAAGATTAAGATTTGTAAACCCCTCAGCTATTTCTACAAAAGGTCTCACTTTCTTAGTTTGTCACCTAACATTCTGTGCTTTTCTCATGTCCCAAAGCAAACATAGTTGCTGGGTCAGAAAATCATTAAGGGAACAGAGTTGTAAATATTATATTTATAAATTAAAAAAACCACATTACTTATAAAATTCATGCATATACTAACCACAAATACCTTGATATGAGATTCAATTTACAGTACATGTTGTTAAAAGCAGTAAAACAAGAATTAGATAATCTATGGCATACAGAAAAATCAGTAACTCCTCCCATATAACTAAGTAAAGGTTAAATCCATTCTTCAGTTAGTTATGTTTGTTACAGAATTTTAAAATTAAAACATAAATTGTTGCCTGTCTTCAAAGAATAATGTTTACCTAAGTAAATGCAGTAATGTTTTCATTACTTATATGGTAGTTAAACAAAGGATAATGCAGGAATTTATTAACTGTCCTTTTTCCTTTCCAGACAGCTATTAAGTCTGAAATGTATTCTGTATTAATTGGTAGGAAAATGTAACAGTTAATTGAATGATGAGGGTTATTTTCTTAAAATTAATTATTCCAGCCTGTAGAGGGATGAGAAGATCTATTAGCTCTCATAAAAAAGACAGAGAGAAAAATACAGGACATGATATCTATATTGTCCATATAGAAACAGACGGACGTTGGAAAGAAAGTTATGTGATGAAGAGAATTGATACTCAACAGCATAAGAAATCAGTTTCCACGCACTGCCCCAGGGCAAAGCCTTTCAAGCAGTATCAATGCCAAACACACCTTTAATGTGCAACAACAAAAAAGACATAGCAACACTAATTGTGTGAAATTAAATAAACAATTTTATCCTAATTTTAAAACTTTTCTTTGTTTTAGGTGAACTTTGTTAAAATACAGTTTGTAGATAGTTTGCAAGGTCCCAAAACTACACGAAACACACAATTTTTAGTATTGTAGATGGTGACGGAAAAAATTCCCATATGATCATTCTATAACGGAACTCATTCATCATATTAACACTTGGAAAAACAACATCACGACCTAACATTTAGGCATCTGCATGATTTGCCCTACTCTGTTCTTGATCGGCTGTGTATCTCCACAGTCTAGTGTCAGTGTTCCATTATGATGAGGCCGTAAAATATTATGGAGTGTGGGTCATTTGGTATCTTTTTTTTTTTAAACTGAATTTAAAAATCTGAACTGAAGTTAAAAGTAAATTATTCTAAGTTATACGGTGACTATTTGTTTGACATATAGTGCAGAATTGATGACAATGTAGAGCAGTAAGCATTTCTGTAACACAGAACCAACATAAACTGGGAAACAAAGACAAAGTAGATTTTTTCGTAATTAACTACCCAGGAAACCTAAATAGATATGATATGGGGTTGGGGGAATAATAGGGACATTTGCCCTTATTTCTGGAAGACTTTACTTCAAATCATTTCTCTTCCACCAGCTTCATCATTATTTCTCCCACCAGACACTGGCTCCCAACTCTCTGGACTAATTCTGTTTCCCTTAATGTAAATTACTGCTTCTTAACTTTATTTGTCCTGAACACTCAGCTCTAAGGCTTCTGTCTTGTCCCACACCATCTCCAGCCCTGCCTTGCCCACCTACTGTAACTGGACACATTTCATTCTTACGTCCTTAGACATTTCCTTCTTGGTGAATCCTTCTTTGGATACTTTTTATTAGCATGGCTTATGACTTAAGTTCACTATAACACAACTTACCATCTAAACCAGAACACTTAAAAGAGTAAAAGGGAAAGGTACTGTTAATTATGTTGGAACAAAGGGATATAAACCAGGACTGTCCCACTGGGGCCACCCCACTTAACAGCATATATGATGTGGGTCTCTGTCCTCTCCTTTATTGCTGTTGGGAAGTGAATTGTTTCACATAATAAGGCACTGAATTGTTGTTAGGAGAATTTTGGTCAATACTAGCAAGAGAGAAGTAGCTGCTTTTTGCTGAAGAATATAAAGGTCTGCAGCTGAGCCCACCAAGTCTGAGCCAGATCTTGAGGCTCTGTGGGTAGAAGCAAGTTGTGGGGCTCCAACAGCGAGGGGAAATTAAAGGGGAGCCAGAACACTACAGAAAGTGCAAAGGAAAGCATAGAATGCCAGGAAGGCAGGTGTTCTGGGGAGTCCATCCACACTGGTGGATTCTGCAAGACTTGCAAGACTACATTTTTCAGTGGTTCACAGGCTTTAGTACATGTTAAAATCACCTGGAAGACCTGATACAACAGAGGGATAAGCCCACCCCCAGAGTTTCAGATTCAGTGGGTTTAGGGTAGATCACATGAACTGCATTTTTAACAAGTTCCTAGATGGTGCTGCTAGTCTACAGTCTACAGTTTGGGAACCAGAGTCTCATAGGAACGGCAAAATAAATGTTTTGCATTGTACTTCGGACTACATGTCTGGGATCAGCTACCAGTTAGACTGAGCTGCTCTGGTTAATCAACTGCATGTGGCATGCCCTTTCCTATGTTGTGGGGAATAATGACCAAGTTACACTATATGTGCAGATAGAAAGATATATGAGTGTGAACAAGACATACTTATTAAATACAAACTTACTCTTGCAAAACCCTTAGAACAGGAGATGTAAGAGTTTTACCCGATATATGCAGAATAGATTACTGCAAAACCAACCACTTCTCTTTCACATATCGTAGACAAACACAATCTTTGTGCTTGATAACGGAATAGAATTTCAAATAAAGAAACCACAAAAACCTTACGTAAAATGTATTTTGTTCTCACGCAAGTATTGTGCTACCACACTTTATCATTATTTCTTTGGTTTGTAATTTGTCTTACTTGAGTTATTATCATCATCTTATTTAATTGTCTACAATCAAAGGGAGAAAAAGGAAAAACAGGACGAGAAGTTGTAAAGAAAACAAAAAGCCATTTGAGTAGGGAAAGACAGAAGAGGATATAAAAAGAGGAAGCATCTTCTAGACCTCTAGAGGTCCAAATCTAGAGGGCAAGTCTCCTCATTCGCTAAAAAAGGAAGATGGGAAAAGCTGTCGACAGTTCTAGATTCAACTGTTTCATCATCAGAGCCATACCTGATTGCATTCTTCCCTGAAAAAATCTCTAACTGGACCATTTAAACTACTTGTTAGATTTTTTTTTTTTTGAGAGGGCATCTCTCATATTTATTGATCAAATGCTTGTTAACAACAATAAAATTCTGTATAGGGGACACAATGCACAATCATTAATCAACCCCAAGCCTAATTTTCAACAGTCTCCAGTCTTCTGAAGCATAACGAACAAGTTCTTACATGGTGAACAAGTTCTTACATGGTGAACAGTACAAGGGCAGTCATATCACAGAAACTTTTGGTTTTGATCACGCATCATGAACTATAAACAATCAAGTCAGACATGATTATTCATTCGATTTTTATACTTGATTTATATGTGAATCCCACATTTCTCCCTTATTATTATTATTATTATTATTTTTTAATAAAATGTTGAAGTGGTAGGTAGATGCAAGATAAAGGTAGAAAACATAGTTTAGTGCTGTAAGAGGGCAAATGTAGATGATCAGGTGTGTGCCTATAGACTAAGTATTAGTCCAAGCTAGACAAGGGCAACAAAACATCCACGGATGCAGAAGATTTCTCTCAAAACGTGGGGGTGGGGGTGAGGTTCTAAGCCTCA